CGGAACTGGGGATTGAACTCAGGCCCTTGCACTTGCCAGGGAAGTGCTTATTCTATGGAGCCATCACCCTGGCCCCTCTAAAATCTTTTGTTAATGGTAAGATCAACCATCCTTCGTATTTACTGAGAATTCCGATCTAAATACTTTTCTCTGTGTTCTGTTAAGGATACAAGTAGTTGCAAGTTAAAACACCTTTTTTCTTTTTTCAATATATTTAATACAGGGTCTAAAGGGTCTCACTGCACAGATCCAACTCATAGTGATCCTCCTGTTTTCAGCTTCCCAAGTGCTGGGATTACAGACACGCGCCACCACGCCCAGTCTCATTTGCCATCTTAGCACGGCATGGGGATTGAATCCCAGGCCCCTAGCACTTTCCTAAACAGGCGCTTTAGTCTGCTGAGCTATCTGGCTGGCCCTAAAACACCTTTTTTCTTTTCTTTTTTTTTTTTTTTTGGAACCAGGGATTGAACTCAGGCTCTTGGGCTTGCCAGGCAAGTGCTTATTGTACTGAGCCATCTCCCCCGCCCCTAAAACACCTTTTTTCTTTGCTTTTAATTTTACTAATATTTTATAGTACAACTATAAGTCAAGTTATAAGCAAGTTTACTTCAAGATTAACAAGAGAAATCTAGATTTTATCTGCAGAATATTATAGATGCAGTGTATCTGTTAATATTGTCAATATACATATAAATTTTTAGGACCAGGAATCAAAATTTTGTTGGCGATGGTAGGGATTGACCCCAGAGTCTCACATATACTAGGCAAGAGCTATATCACTAAACTATACTCCAAGGCCCTCCCCAAGTTGTTATAAATAAAAAAAATATGCATGAGGCTGGGATTGTAGCTCAGTGGTACAGCATTTGTCCCGCATGTGCAAGGTCCTGAGTTTGATCCCCATGATCACTTCCCTGGCCCTAAAATATTTTTAAACTTTTCAACTCATTTCAAATGTCTAAATGAAATATTCTTCATACTGTTCAATTAACATCTAATGTTGAAAACAGGAATCCAGAGACTGGACAGGGTATGGTGGCACATGCCTATAATCCCAGCACTCAGATCCCTGCAAATTCGAGGTCACCTTGGGCTACAAAGTGAGCTCAAGACTAGCCTGAACTGCATAGTGAAACCCTGTCTCAAGAAGAGTGCCCCGCCCCATAGAAAAAGAGGAACCGAGGGACTGGGATGTAGCTCAGTGGTAGAACACTTGAGAAGCCTAGATAGCAGAATATCATTGAATAGTTTTGGTGAAGTAACATAATCAGTTCTGTCTCAAAAGAAAAGAAAAAAAACATTCATCACTGACCTTCTAGATGCAATGGCAGCTGATGATCAGGTTTCCATATTTTTCTTGTCTGTGTGCTGCTAGTCATTCTGACAGACCTTAATTACTTCAGCTTTTTTTAACACTATTATCTCCTGTGACCAGACCATTGTTGTTCAAGGTATGTTTGCTTTTTTTTTTGGTACTGGGAATCAAACTCAGTGCTTGCCAGGCAGGCACTTATGCCGCTGAGCTATATCCCCAGCCCATGTTTGCTTTTTTTCAATTTTTTCTTCCAAATACACTTACACATTTTAGAATTAGCTTGGTCATGTTCGAGGAAAAACTTTGCTTGATATTTTTATTGGAATTTCACTGTTTTTTGTTTGTTTGTTTTGTTTTGTTTTGTTTTGTTTTGTTTTTTAGATAAGCCTTGCTATGTAGTCCAGCTGGTCTTGAACTAGCTATGTAGCACAGGTTGGCCTTGAATTCTCAGTGATCCTCCTATTTTAGCCACCTGAATGCTGGGATTACGTGGGTGGGCCACCCCACCTGGCTTCTTCACTGACAATATAGGGAAACATAACATTTACCATATAAAGTCTTTTAACCTAATCATTTTATAATGTCTCATATCAGCCTTCTTTCATGCCTCTTAATAGTTTTGCTTTTTGGTTTTGGTTTTGGTTTTGGTTTTGGTTTTGGTTGGGTTTGATTTTGATGCTGAGGATTCAACCCATGGCATGTGATCTACATTCTCGGCCTCAATATTTTTCCTGTAAGAGACAGGGTCTTGCTGTGTTGTTCAGAATGGCCTCAAACTTGTGTTCCTCCTGCCCCTGCCTCCTGAGTAGCTGGCCCTACAAGTTGACACCACCACCCCAACTGTCAATAGTTTTATACTTCAAGTTTTACATAAATATTGAGATAGTGATTATATAATTTTGTCCTTTAATCTGTTGCTCTGTCTACAGGTTCTTGTTTGTTATAAATATTATAGTTTCTTTTCTTTTTCGAGACAATCTCACTATGCAGTTTAGGCTGGCCTTAAACTCACTGTGTAGCCCAGGCAGGCCTTAAACTCATAGTGATCCAAGTGCTGAGATTATAGGCATGCCTATATATAGTTTACTTTCTTATACATCAGTATCTTCTTTTATTTAAATATATTAAACAGATCTAATAATTCCAGTTTCTGTAATCTATCTGATTCTGGTCTTTGTTCTGATTGCTCTTTCTTTTTTTCTTTTTTGTCTTTTTGAAACAAGATCTTGTCAGGCTGGTCTTGAGCTCACTTTGTAGCTCAGGCTGGTCTCAAACTAGCAGATTCTCCTGCCTTGGTCTCCCAAGTGCTGGGATTACAGGCTGATTACTCATTCTAAATCACTTCTTTCCACATGTATTTTGTATTTTTTTTTCATATAAGCACATATTTCTAAGGACTATATTTATTATAACAGTTTGATGATTTACTTTTGTTTTAGGCATGCAGCTAAAACAGACATTATCTTAGATGACCCTAAAATTTTAAGATTGAGATTTTTAAGGCAGCAGAAGTAATATGAATGTCAGGTCCAAACCTAAGTGTATTACTTATCTAATACTATATAACAAATTATCTCAAAACAGAAATACTTCCTGTCTTATGGTTTCAAGCAGAACAGTATTTCTGCTTTGTGATGTTTATTTAATTCCTTAGCTATGAACTAGAATCACTTCAAGATTCATTCACTTACATATCTGGCTGTGAGCTGAGGACCGTGCTAGATACGTTGTCAACCAGAACCTTTGTATGTGGTATACTCAAGTGGCTTTGTGGCTTGAGCTTCCTCACAAGATGGTGCCTGAGTTCTCGGGCACGTATCCTGAGAGAAAATCGTACTAGTGGCAACCATATTGTCTTTTGTTAGGGTTAGGGTTAGGGTTAGGGTTAGGGTTAGGGTTAGGGAAAGAAATAGCTTCACCTACTGAACTGGAACATCAAGGATCTGGAACAAGAACTACTACAGTATCTATTTTGGGAGTATATGGTCTATTTCACCAAGTAAAACTGGGCAGTTAAGAATTACTAGAGGTAGGGGAGATAGCTCGGTGGAATAAGCGCTTGCCTGGCAAGTGCAAGGTCCTGAGTTTGATCCCTGGTTCCACCAAAAAAAAAAAAAAAAAGATTAGTAGAGGTGACATTTCTCTTTTTTTCCTAGTCTAAGAAAGGGACATAGCCTTAAGGAGTGACATTTTTCTTTTCCTACCTGTTAGAACCAAGTGTAGGAAAGATATAACCCCACAGTTTCTGTCTGGAATGGAGATTTTTTTTCTACACTGAAGGTACTTCCTTTCAAAGGTCTTTGTATAAATATCTCTTATTGGGGCTGGTGAGATGGCTCAGTGGTCTAAAGCACCTACTTAGAACAAGCTTAGCAAAGCACAGGGACCGCGGTTCAATCCCTCAACACCATATGCCAGCCAACCCCACCCCCTGGTGGGCTG